TTTTTTCAACATTCAGGAAGCCTTACTTTTAAATGCTAGTATACCAGTGAAGGCTGGTGGCTTCTTGCTTACTGTGAGCCAAGAACTTTTGACTTCATTGTTTGTAGCTGATATTTAGAAAATTCGGTCGTTTTCCTACCTAGCAGCATCTCTATGAAAGTGCAATATGTTGTGTTTTTTCTTTGTTAGGTTCCACCTGAGCTATTCTGTGATATTTGGGTTCAAGACACTGAGTACATTCAAAATCCATGCATTTCACTAGCTGCCTATGTGGCGATGTGCAACAAATTTAATATTTGTATAGAGTGGAGGAGCTCTGATTACTGCCGTAAGTATTCTGCATGTATGTGTACCTCTAGTATTCGTAGACACAATATTTGCCTAATACAGGAGTTACTGTAAATTGAAAATACCAATGCTCCTTGAGTCTCATGTACTTTGGAAGTATTATTGAGATAGTCAGCATTTCTTATGATACAATTCAAAGCACGTGCAAAAGGAAGCAGGATCATTATAGCCATTTCACACATGGAAAGGTAGGCTAAAGAACCTTCCCAAGCCTACCTCTAGCTTATAATGTACCTAACCGTAGAAGTCAAACCTTCTCACTTGCAATGCAGTGTTCATTTCTTGTGGCCACTTTCCACTGATAAAACCAAAACACAACAGAATTGGCTGTGGAAAGGAGAAAGCCACAGGAAGAAAGTTCTGTGGTACTTTGAATTGGTGTGATGTGGTTCCAGAAAGCTGTATTTGGAAAAAGGATTAGACAAATGAAACACTTTTGAGATTAGATGGAAAGCAAGGCATAAAGCCTGAGAGCTTGAGTATGTTCTCAATAAAGTATTCAGAACACTTGATTATTAATGTGTAGTATTTGAAAATGTATTTGAAGTTTATATCACTTCATGTCAGCCCTGTTGCATGGTTGGATATCTCTACTGCCAAAATGCAAACCGAAACATGATAAAAATGTTATTACAGGAAGAAGTAAAATGCTCACCACTTCCTTTTGTTTGAATTTGTTATGTAGAAGGTTACCGGTCTGTATAGGTGCTTATGTTGGTAGATCCTACTGAATTGGCAAGCACAGGAAGTTAGCGAGAAGACAGTATCTTCTCTTAGGTACTGCCTCATGTGATTACAACTTCAGAATGAGTGATTTGTTTATTTCCATCCTAGCCTTCCCCTGCTCTGAAAACTTCTCCTATCGGGCTTGTATAGCTGCCTGTGAGGTTGCAGAGAGTTGTCAGAATAATGAGGATGCTTCTCTGGACTCAGACTCCTGCTCAGTGCTGACAGAAGGCTGCGTCTGTGCTGGAGGGACTATCCTTCACCGAGCTCACACTGCTCTCTGTATTCCTGAAGAAAAATGTGGTATGTTTGGATGTAATTTTCTTCTTTATTATCTGCAAGTTGCAGTCAGATACTTCATTACTAGTTAAGTTGAGTTCTGGCCTGATGTTGTGTGGGTTCTGCATATGTCATTCTGTGGAGGGTTCTAGATTTTCAGTAGACATTAACTTTACCAGTGAGCAAGAAAGGAATGTGTTTGTGACATACAATTTTGCTCACATTCTCTTAGCTGGAGAATGGTCTTCAAAATGGCAGGTTTTTCTTGTGTTTGTGCATTCTAGTATTCTAAGTATGTTAGTCTTGGCCTCCTTTTCACATAGCTCCTTGCCAAGGGGTCCAACTTATTGTTACTAAATGTTATTCAAAAGACATGCAGCAACAGTTAATTACACATTTTGAATAATGCATGTATATTTCTGTGGTCTTTCTGCCAACATTGGTATTTATTTTCATAACAATTCTGCCTGAGCACATCAAATTTTGGACTGATACTTAACACTAACAACATAAACTGGTATGATGCAGTTTCTTATAAATCAGATTATGTAAAACAATGTAAATTATTGATAGTTTTGCCATGTGTGAAATAAAAAGTAACTTCAGATCACTGCTTTAAAAAAAAAGGATTGGCTTGGGATTTAAGTGATTAGTCTTGCACTGGAGACGCAAAACAAAGTGGAGGCGCTCATCCTCTGGAGGGTTATAGAGTTCCCATACAAACTCAGTCTCAGCCCCTTTCCTTTCACTTTTTTGTGAGGTGATGGTGATAGGTGATGCCTTTAAAGCTCTCGGATTTTTATAGTTTATAGCTGCACACCTGCTGTAGAAGAAAATGGTGGTAAAAATTTGAAGTAAAAAGGAATTACTTCCGGTTTCTGTTGTCCTGATCTAGCTTGTACAGACAGCTCAGGAACACCTCATGCAGTAGGGGAGATCTGGAAAACTTCTTTGAGTGGATGCTGTATGCAAAAATGTGTTGACAGCGAGACCATTATTCCAGTGGAGTACAGCTGTTCAGATATCCACAATTTAGACTGTCAGCGATTTGCAGAAGTGGCCTTGCTTGTTCCTGGTGATCAGACGTGTTGTCCTCAGAAGATCTGTAGTAAGTATTCCTTAATGAGTATGAATACTGCCTGCTGGCATATGCAGATATCCTTTCTCTGCGGTTTGTTTTCCTGTCACACATCCTACTTTTTAAGTAAATGGAAGTTACTTCAGCTTGAATTTACAGATTATGTAGAAAACTGTAGAAATGTTGTACTATTTGGCTCATATCCAGTAGGTTTTGGGGGAAGAGGTAGAGGGATGGGGCAAGACTGAAATAAGTCTATGTTTATTTGTGTATGAATTGTGTTTCTCTCAGGTGTACAGGCTGCTGATTTATCCTTAATATTCAAATACAAATAAGTGATATAACTAATTACTAGAAAAAAGATCAGTTGATTTTCACCTAATTTACAAATGGAGCATTTAAAAAAGGATGTAAAAGCTTTTTTTAAATCCTTACTTAGCTTAGAAAGTCCATCTTTAAATGGAAATTGCAAGCCATTTTCAAGTTTTGACTTCTTGGGATGACGTTGCCGTGACTTTTCCACAGGATTTCTTTTTTTTTTAATTCTCAGAAGGACTAAGATCTAGGTTAACTTTGCCTCCATGGGGTATTGCAAATGCTGGACACTGGAATATTGCCTTGGGTTTTTTTGCTTTGATTTGGTTTTCATATGTATGTTGTTATTTGGAGATTGGGGGTATCAAACTGCCAATACTGCTTGCCACTGCTCCACTCAACTTATGAATACAGATACTTATGAATAAGATAGTTTAGAAGGATTTTTTTTCTTTTCCTTTATGTAACAGTTTGCAATCATAGCCTCTGTGAGCCCCTAATCCCTGAGTGTAATGGCTTGGAAAAGCTGGTCACTTACTACAGTGAAGAATCCTGTTGTCCCAACTACGTTTGCGGTAGGTTTCTTTTGGAAAGGTAAGAAAGTTCACCCTGTAAAAGACATTCAGTAAAACTACCTAGATCAACATCAAAACCAGAAGGTAGTTAGTGGAGACATCGTTGTTAATATGGCCATTTACAAAATTTTCTTTCATCTAAAAGCTCAGGGTTGGTTTGTGCTTCCATTTGACTAGATAAAATGATGGATCAGGCAAGAATGTGTCTTTGCTCTGTTGCGGTACAAGGTAAAAGTTTTGTAGAGTGTCTTGTGTATTTCTCTGCTCTGCACTGCCGTTTCTTAGGGATATAGCATAACAAAGGAGGAATGCTGTACTTTTTTCAGAATGTGATCCAGCAAAATGTGAACCACTGGAGCAGATGCCAAGCTGTCAAGAGGATCAAACACTAATTGCTGCTCGAGTGGAGAGTACCTGCTGCATTTCCTACATATGTGGTACAGTATCCTGGCTGGTTGAGACTGTTTTGCATATGAAATGATGTCTACTGTTACCTTGCCAATTAAGGCTCCTTGTACTTCCTTTAGCTCTCTCAACACAGTAAGGCTTGAAAATGGTTAAAAAATGGGCAGTAGGTTTACAAAACATAAGAAATGGCAATGACCATCAGGAGTCACGAAACAGCTTTGTGCAACTTCTGCAACACTATGAAACCCAATTCTTGGGTCTTGCAGAGGAGTGGTGGTGAAGTCCATGGATGAGGGAGCTGAGGGGTTTTGAGAGACTGTCCATGTACAGCGTCTGGACTAGCTGCATGAATGTTTTCTCTGAAAGAAGTCTGTAGTGATATATGCTCTTCTCTTGCTCCCTATATCCTGTTGTATCAGCTACGGCCACGCTTATTCAATGGTAAATATGCCATATGATAGTATTATGCAAATTTGTTCAGTTCTTTTGGGGCTTGGACTTTAAGAACTTAATTCAGTAATTGAAATTGCACTTTTGGCATCAGTATAGGAGTTCTAATGCTGCCATATTGTTATTTTCTGTATGATAATAATGTGGTAATGAGGTCCTATTGAATTTACTCTATTTTTGCACATAGATACCTGTGAATCAAAGACCAATTAATCTTGATTCACTCTTCCATGTGCAAAAATCTGTGCGTTAATAGAAAACTTGAATTACACTTCTGTTACTTACGGTAATCAGGGAGTCACTTTGATCATGTGATAGCAATGTGTTGTGTTGGGCTCTTCTTATGGTCTGCACAGCATTCTCCTGTCTCTTGTGATACAAGTCTTTGCACTGTACATATCGAAAAGTACCTATTGTGATTTTCATGTGTGTTCAAGTGAGAGGATAACACTGAGATCACAGGAAATGCCCTTTATTTGGGATCAAAGATCTTATAATTTTGGCAGAGGTACATTCCTGAAAACAACAGGGTGACTTGGCAGGAGAGAAAATCTAGCAAACGTCATAATGGAAAGGGAGAGAAAATCCTTTTTGCTGTGATCTGACCGACAATGTATTCATTCTTTATATCAGGGGACAAAGAAAAGGCAAACTTCACTGAAAATTACTCTCTTGTATAAGGCCTATAAGGAATGAATGCAGAGTATCTCTGTTCACTTTCATAGGCATGTTTCTTAGGCAGTAGTAAAATTTCTTCCTATGTTTTAGATTTAAATAATTGTTTTCTCCAGCATGCGGGGCTTGCTCTGACCAAATACCCAAATGTCAAGAAGGAGAAGTTCTTATTGTGGATGGCAACACTACAGATAGGTGTTGCCCTACATACCAGTGTAGTAAGTGTGACTTAATTTTGATATTTTAAGTAATAGAGAACATGTCAAATTTTGTAGTGTGAATGTTCAGTGCCAAAAATGTACAAGCTCTGCTTGTACATATAAGCAAGCTATTATCTATAATCCTGAACAAATAATACTTACTTTTAAAACTTTATGTTCCTAAAGCATTATTTGAATATCTGTAGGATGGAGACAAATGAGTAATTTCAAGCCTCAAATTCTGGAGATTTAAAACTGTTTTAAATATTTGCCTAGAGTAGTTGTACTTCACACTACTGTTAACCTGACGGCTCATGAGTAAATTTCAATTATTAGTCTTTTTAAGTAAGATGTTTTCTGAAGGTATTTATTATAAGTAATTTATTATCTCTTGATTCATATTTCTGTTCATCAAAATATGGCAACCCTGTGTTTATTGGACTTTCTTTTTCTTAATTTTAGTTTGTGAAATACATCGTTGTCCTGAATTCAAATGTATGTTAGGAATGTCTTTGGTGGAGCTGTGGAGCCCAGAGAAGTGCTGCCCGTTTCGGACATGTGGTAAAATAACTGATTTTTGTTTTAGTTGCCTTAGACAATAAGACACTGACAAGAGCTTTGGCCTTGTGGGTGTAATTCTGGTTGAAGCCAGCTATACTGTTGTGATCTGCTTTTGAACAGATGATATAGAAAAGTCATCTCATGGTACAAAACTTAATCTGCCTGTTTTATTTTTTTCTTACTTCATAAGGGTGATAGTATACTCTAGAGTTTGCCTGTCCAAACTGGGTGACTTATCATCTTGAAAATTTTGTAAGAGTTAGTAGATTATTGATGGCTAAAAAAAAAAAAAAATCTTAGGTTCACAGATCAGGAATTTGCCAGTTTACAAAGACTGTAGTATGTCATACATCCCTGTGTGATGCCACAATTCTCCATTGCTTTATATTGATTGTGATGATTGTCATCACTGCAAGGAGGTTAGCTGCTAGAATGATCATCTGTTTTTTAACATGTCCAGGTTGACTGCAGTTGGTACAATGCTGTGAATTTTCTAATATGTAAAGGTGGTCACAGAAGCTGGTATTAGGATGGAATAGAAATCAAACATAATTCTGGACAGAATATGTCAGAAATATACCAGATGGGTATATTTCAAAATCAGCAGAACTTCTTCAATGATCTTGTAAATCTGAAATTTTCCTTCTGACACTCTGTTTTAAGCAAATGGCATATAAATCTATTGTTTCTGATATTATATTTTATTTTAGAATGTGAATGTGACACGATCCCCAAACCTCAGTGCAAACTGGTATGAAATTTATCTTGTCAGTGTTCTTTTATTAATTTCTTAATAAACCTATTTATGAGTATCTTAAGAATAGTTTTATCTGTGAAATATGAAATGCCATGTCATTCTTCTTTTTTTTTTTTTTGTAATTGCTTTGCAGGAAGATATATCTGTTTTTAAGAAGGCAGTTAAGTTTACATATCATACTGAATACAATGTCTGGATAGCATTGATATTTCTGGAGTTTTTTATGACCATACCCTGCCCTGAAGTATTTGTAGAGTAGAACTGCTTTCATGCACCCAAGGATAAAATTTTGTCAGAACTAAATGCTTTAAAGCATCAGTGTTTTGTTAAGATTATTTGTTATAGTGAATATATTAACATATATCATGCACTCAAACTGCTGACTAAGCAGGATTTTTTAACTCTATTTCATTGTGACTTGTTCTGCATCACAAAAACGCTTATTAGCATTGCTGGGCTAGATTCTCAGCCAGTGCTGGGTATGCTTTGATTTTTCTTCTCATTATTTTATACAGAAAATAATGTTGCAATGGGAATAATTTATAAAAACTAGAATTTGGAATCCTAGGAAGAAATTTGAAATAATACTAATTTTTTTGTAGATGAAATTCAAAATGCTTTGCAAGTGAGCTTGTTGTTAGTACTTTCAGAGATGAAGAAAGTTGGGCATAAGGAATCAGGGCTTGCAGAAAACTGGGAGAAAAATCTTAATATGCCTGTGTCTAAACAATTAAAAGCAAAATTTAAAAGTATATCTGTGCTGTTGTAATACTGTTTATATCCGTTAAGTTATTCCATGAAAGAATACACTCCCCACTGCATGGAGATTTTTGTATAAAGGCGAGCCATTGCATTTCATTGTTGGCCTGCCTTAGTCTTTTCTGTCCTAAGTGTCTGCTCTGCTGACACCAACACACATTCCTGGTTTTCAGGTATAAAAAAATATCCCATTTTTTTATCATTACTAAATTAAATGACCCTTTGGGTGATGAATGTGGATTCAAAATGGATTTTTAGGGGCAAGAGATACTTCTACTCAAATCCTGAAGGAAAGGTGTTTAAAAGACAAAGATCATACAGATAAGAAAACACCATTGTTTCACTTCTCTTTTTTTCTGCTTTTATACACTTAGGGGCAGAAACTTCAGATAGATGAACAGTTCCAGAACAGTACAGAAAATATCTGTAACTGTGTTAAGTACAAATGTGGTAAGTCAGAAAAGAATTTATTTTTAAAAAAATACCCTTTCTAGTGCTAAGGTAAATTAGGAATTATAAATTGGATGTTCACCTTGAACATGGTGCTGAGGAGGAAAGATTTGACTGATATAATTCACAAGTAGTGTAAGAAAAGGCAAGAAAATAGGCCGGTCCTTGTATTCTGTTAGTTCCTGCAGCTAGGGAGGTCTGTGCAGGGAAATGGCAGACAGTTTGGGGAGAGTTGGGTGGTGTGGACTAAGCAACCAGGATGTTGCTGAGCTGGAGTAAGGACTCGAGCAAGAAACTGAAACACACTCAAGGTCCACATAAAGAAAAGTCCTGCTAACCCATTGTGGGACTACCCAGGAGCTATTAGACATGCTTCTGTGCTTTACAGGATCAAGGATAGCATTCAGCACCATGCGAATTCTCCTCAGAGCATGCCCGGTAGCATCTGGGAAAACTCAGGAAAAAGTAATTCCTGTGGGTCATCCAGTTGGCCAATATAGTTCTGATTGTCCTTGCCTAGATTTCTACAAAAAAGATGTATAATTCTCAGCTAATTATCCTCTGAGCCCTCAGTAATCAGTAGAGAAAAATAGACATTTCTCAGGCATATTTCTTATGCTGAAGTCGACATAAAACAAATGACTTGAAGAAGTCTGCACTGTCATTTTGGTGGTGCAGCTAATAGGGTATTATATATTTATTTAGATTTCATGCGTGGTTATATTTGAAATAATTTGGCAAATGTAGTGAAGCATAAGACTATTATGAGCAGTTTATACCTAAAAATCTGACCTGTAGTTCTTAAAGAGGTAGTGTTTTCCATTCCTGTTTTACTATTTGAAACATTTTTTAACAGGGTTTTGATACCAAGCTGATTGTCCTGAGCATACCATTTATTTTGTGTGTTTTTTTGTAGTGAGAGACAAAGTTTGCCTGAGTAATGAGAGAGGTGTGCTGCTTCCTGGACAGACAATTGTGGAACACAGTGCAGATGGCATTTGCCTTATTTCTTATTGTACAAATGTGATTGATCCCTCCACTAAATACTACCAAATAAACACATCTTCAGTAGACTGTGCTGTCAAGTGCAAAGCTGTAAGAAATTCAGAGTTTATATTGTGACTGTTGATTTTAATTACATTTTGTTGTGTTTTGCTGCGTAGATTACAGTCATAGGAACAAGATGGAAAGAGTAACTATGAGATCTTCCATTAATGATGTGCTGCCACACATCTGATAGAAGTTTATAAAAGTTTCACCCCCTTCACTGTTTTCTCCCTTGTGTAAATTTATACAAACTAATGTATATAGCACACTGCCACCTTGCACCCCTATATAACTTCAGCTGCATTATGTGAAAACTGATATAAATTCCTGGCCCATTAGCCCAGTAAGGATTGGGAAGAGACTAATTGAAAACAGAAGAATTCTAAATGAGGTGAAAACAGCTTTATAAAATAAGCAAATGATACTTTGTCTTTTTATAAAGTATAATACATTACCATGGGAATATTCTTTAGATTACTTTTTCTAATTCTGTACTTACTTGATGTCTGATGTGTAAAAAGTCAAAATTCAGTCATTCTTGAAGCAAGCTGTCAGACTTATATTTGAAAGTGGTAGAGAGAACAGTTCATTCTCCCCGAGTTGGAACTTCTCCTCATTTACTTCAATTAAGATCAAAGATATTTTGTAAAAGCTTCATGAATGTGCAGTGTGTACAAATGTAAGCTATGCAGTTTTGAAATTTATTTTAAAACCATCCATAAAATCAGATGCCTGAAAAAAATCTGACCATGACACTAGTAAAATGTTGAGCTCAAAGATGGTCTCATGCAAGGAATAATCTATTTCATCTTGGCAGAACCAAGTCTATCAGCCTCCAAAAGATTTAACAACTTGCTGTGGTAGCTGTAAGAACTTGTCTTGTCTCCACACTTTCAGCAATGGCACAATTGCCAGTTTTAAGGTAGGTCCACACATGTCTTATTTCCTCAAAATATTTAGAAGAAAAAAAATTAAGAGATACTGTACACACATTGTCATATAAAATGTGCAAAGAGGAGCTTTATTTGGCCAAATACTAGGAATAGTTTTAAATGTATACAACCTTAATTTCTTGGAGAGTCAATCATATAGCTGTCCAAAAAGATTAAGGGATTTTGATACATCGGAGAATTATTGTCCACTTCACTTTTTTAGAACCAGCTTTACATTATATTTAGTGGACTTTTAGGTTCTGTACTTAAACAGAACTTTATTATGTGTCTAAATCATATTTTGCTGTGTCAGTTTTGATTCAGACAGGATCACATTCAATGGAATTGTATTATAAATACTTATAATACTGTTTTTGCTGAGCTGCTGAGTAAAGACTCTCTTTTGTAATTTTTAACAGCCTGGTACTGTTTGGATTTCAAACTGCATCAGATATGAATGCACTAACACAGCAGTTGGACCAATTCTGGTTTCCTCTTCAGTTGGCTGCCCACCCTTTAATGAAACTGAATGTGTGAAGGTCAGTGTTCACTATGCTGTTTGCATTCCAGTGATGATTTGTATTTGCATGAAAAGATTAACACTGACAAAAGATGTTTTTACCTCAAGAAGGGAGAAATTATAAATTCTTGCAATGCCTGCATTTGAGGGTGAAAAACTCCAACTGTAAACATACAGTGTGCCACTAGACTGCCCAGTTAAACAGCTGGAGAGACATCTTCTTATTCTCAGAAATACTTTTTTTTTTGTAGAGGCTTGTAGTATCAAACTGGTCTTCATACAGCTGTCTGAACTTGGATGCTTTTCTGGATTGGATGACTTCTAACTGATTTTCCACATATAGCAATTTGATGCATCACAGTGACTGAAAACATTGAAGAAAAAGAAAGACTGAGTATCAGGAAAATCATTTCTACAGTGAGACATAAGGTTTTGTGGAGTAGTTTTGCAGGAAAAGCAAAAACTCTATTTGATTTTGCAAAATGAGACTAGACTAAGTGTCAGAAAACGTATGCAGGAAGCAACCTCATATTGCTGTCTGTAGTTCTGCATTTACATGTAGATGGGAGGATACTTTATTTCATGAATGATGGTACACAAGCCTAAAGGAACCAAGTGGCTGCAGTTCTTCCCGCAGATAATAATGGATTGGTTCTTCAGAGAGTCTCAGGTACACAGCTTTTGCTGTTTTAGTCAAACTGAAAAAGTTAAGTCAGAGAGAAAGATCATGATGGCTTGAGACACCGAGGGGAACATCAAAAATTGAACTCCCCTTCAAGGTAATCCTGAGAGAGCTTTTTAAAAAGCTGCATGTGTTCTCCCCACAGTACTCTGAAGAGTGTGTTTCGTGCTATGGCACTGAAGGCAGCCATGACTCTTCTCTATGGGGAGTGTGTGGCTTTCCTCCTGCTTTGACTACAGAATCACTTTTTTGTGATTGTTAGTATGGCCTCTACAAGAAGTCAGGGATTTACTTTCAGAAACAGATGATGAAGTCAGACTTAACACAGTCATTCCCTCTCCAGATGTGGCATCTTGATAGCTGGTGATGTACAGTGGCATTCAGTGACAACCACTTAATATTCACTTGTGTCAGAACAGTCGAGGTAGATCATTTACAGCCAAACCTTCATCCATTGACCAGAGTGCTGCATTTGCCTGAATAATGTTGCAGAGCTGTATCTGGAATATATTTTTAATAGTGCAGATACATGGGAAGGAATGTTTGAAAAAATAAAGTTTTTTCCTCTTTATTTCTCTCTTGGTCAGGTTGGAGGCTATGCTGTACCATTCCTAGAAGGATGCTGCAAAACATGTAAGTGATTAATGGCCCCTCCTGCCACACGAGTCTGCCTGATTTGTTGTTACCCTAGCAATAAGGTTGATTTCCTGCCTGAAAGCTTGATTCACTGATCTCAAAGGCTGTGCATTTCCCAGTTTTACTCATGTGAATACCAGTGAAACTAGTGAAATTAAACCAGAAGAAAGCAGTTTAACATTGAAGGGTTTACTCCGCTTAAGAGTGATTGTGGCTGGCAAGACAGTAAAATGGCTACCTTGAGTATTTTGTAGTCCTCATGTAAAACTCCTCAAAATATTTTTTACTGCATTTAGTATAATAAAAGGTACTGTGTTTTGGAAGGCACCTTAAAATATGCTTGATCTACATTCGTATTTTCCTTTATGGTAAAAATGGAGATTGAGCTATGCAGTTTATGAGTTACTGCTGTAAATAATTAACTGATTGTAATACAGTCTTAGGTTCCATGAAGAGACATAGTTCAGAAGCTTTCAGGCAATATCTTTTAAAAGAACTTACAGTTAAAAAATCCAATTTACTTGATTACCAAGATATGTTTTGGCATCTGTGACAGATAATAAATGTTCTCTGGGAAAAAAAAAAAATCTTTACAGGTTCTAAATAAGCTAATTCTTAATATAAATCAAGAGCTAAGTACATTTTTTTCTTAACACACTAGTACATAGCTGAAACATTTTGCCTGATTTTGTGAAGAATTGAGCCTGAGGCAGATACCTAACCTGGAGAATCTAAGCTCAGATACTTGAAGTTGACAATGTTATAAGCAATTGAAAAGGAGATTTTTATACTGGGCAGTATCAGATTATCCTTGAAAAGGTGCAAAAATATCACTGCATGTGCATAAGTGAATAGTGAACCAAAAGCTAAAGGTAGTAGGGGATAAAGTGTGGGAGAGAGCTGGAGAAAAATGCAGGTATTTCCTGCAGGGGGGGTGGGACTTTAACAATCATGGCTATCATATGTGGAACCACATGCATGACCACGTGGGATATGTGTTGCCAACTGAGATGTACCTGTTGGTGTTACCCGTTATGTATTAGTATATGTGCTTTGTAGTACAAAGGTTATTGAAAGTGTGGAAGATTTATCTGCTTTTTCCCTGCTCTTAACCACTGTGAGGGAATGGTAATATCTCTTCATGTTTTTTTCACTCTGAGGGACCTGTGTTTGTCCTAGTTTT